CGAAATGAATTGACGTAAAATCATACTGTTCTTAAAGAAATTACATGCGTTTACATATGCGTGTGTTTATGTATGTCTCATGTAAATGCATCTAACAATACAATAATCTAACAAAATTAATTCAGAACAAATTTTCACCAATAAATCGTAAAAGTGTTAAAATTCGAATAAGAAAACACAAGGAGAAGAAAAGAGGGGAAAGATAAAAAATATAATATAGATAATAACACATAATGCAACGGAAAATCGTATAAACACATATACGTACATATACATGTATATATATATATATATTTATCGTTTTCTTATTTTCCAAATTTTTTTGCTCTCCTTCCAAGAGAAAAAGAAAATAAAACAACAATGCGCAACATGCAAAACAAAGATTCATAAAAAATAATGCTGGCCTCCCGTCGCGCTCGGCTCTTCGACTTGTCTCAAGTTTTCCTGGACGTGGAAGAATCTTAAAAGTCGCTCCGGAGAACATCAGGATCAAGCCTTTCTCTCTCTCTCTCTCTTTCGAGCAAACCGCGACGGAGGAAACTTAACGTCTAAAGATCGTCTCCTCGGCAGCTGCGGTTACACCATAATCCTTTTTCACGGTTAGTAAAAAAAAGATTACGAATTATGCAATAGAACAGTAATCTTGCAACGGAAATTATTTTCCACTTGTAGAATTTGATTCTATTTTTTCCATCGTTTCTTGCAAGTGTCGATTCTTACGAAAGACTATATTTTTTAAAATTTGTATCGCGAAGCGATACAAATGCTGCGACATCCTGCGAGTGGAAAATAATACCGAAAAACAAATCCAAGAAGATTGCCATTCGTAATTAATAAAACGAAGCGGCCGACCAGACGAGCGCTAAAACGAAATTAAATAAAAGTAATTTTTGGCTAAGAATAACGGTGCTTCGTGACGAGTGCGGGGGAGTGACATTCGGTGTCAGCGTACAAATAAAATATGTATACATACAAATCGAAATACACAGGCTATTTAACTTCAAAGTGACATTAATGAGAATGTCATCGCATGTGAAACTCGTGGCCTGCTGAAAGAAAGCCGTGACAGTTATGCTGCCGATTATGGCACTTTATTATTATTTCACAGGCGGGGATAATGTTCTTTGAACCAAAGAGAATATTATATAAAATTAATATTTTGTTAATAGTATAATTATTAGTACAATTAATAAAAAGATTTGATTCACTAACATTTTTTTCAATCCATTAAACTTTCACAGCAATACACAAAAACGCTAGCAATGTTCATATACAACTCAATTAAGCAAAGTTAATTTAATGTCTTATTATATTTAATAATTAATCATTCGAGATAATAAATTTATAAATTAAATGTAACAAATTATCTTTATAAATTTTTTGTTTATCAAATTATATATTTTGTAAGATAATAATTAATAGTTTTATAAATGTTTCAAAATTTCCTATAAATACATTCGTATAATTAAAATGACTAAATTTTCTTTCAACATTCTAACATCTCGTAGTTCAAAGAATATGTTCGTTTTACTGGAGCGAGACCGGCGGCTTCACATGCGCGATATTAAAACTCAACAACGCAAGAATGAAGCTAAAGGAAAAAAAAAGAAAAAAAAACAACAACGATTACTACATACGATCACTACGTTGTTAGTGGCATTGGTAATTACCTTTCCTTTCGAATCAACGAGATTAGACAAAAAATGCGAAATTGTCGTAGTCTTGTAGGCGAAACGCGGAAAACGTTGGCCGCAATATTTCTGTTTCTTCTTTTTTTTCGGTCACATACTGTTACACTTTCCACCGACTTTTGTGCTCGCGATTGCGAATTTGACAAGAATGTTTTCATACTCCCTTTCTACCTCTTCTTTCTTTCTTTCTTTCTTTCTCTCTCTTTCTCTCTTTCTCACTCTCACATCATCATTCACGATCTACTACGATATATTAATACGTTATTTATATGTTAGGTATATGATTGACTTTACCGAGATACGCAATGCTTTTTTCCTTCTATGGGACTTTCTCGTTTTTCACAGCGATAAATTTCATAGCTCACGGATCTCGGAAAGCCGCCGGATATACAGGACATCACGAAAGAAAGTAACAAAAAATTTGCAAATTTAATTAATATCTTGATTAAGTAAATCTATAGATGTTGGTATTTATATTCATAAAGTGTTGAAATTTATACAAAATTTTCAAAACCATCATGATAAAATTGTAGTAACGCTTTTTTCTCGAGACATCGTGTATACACGGATAATTCAGTGATCGGCGAGACACTTAAGGACTCTGCTTTACAATCTATTGAACACCGTTCTTTTTATTATTGATAATCATAGTCGAACAATCAGTGCATATAAAATATACTAAGTCTACCCAGCGTCAGAAAAGACTCGTCAGCTCTAGAAAAATTTCCTATAAAATTTTCGCCATCTCCTCTCCTTCTCTTTTCTCATTTTTTTTTCTTATTAAATTTTCGCTCTTTCGGAGAGCGAATTCCTCCCTCACATTTGGCACTGAGAATGCGATCGTCGATCCGTCCCTTCATCGAAGCTATTAATGAAGGAAGAGGAACGCGCGCGCGATAACAATTTATTTTCTTTTTTTCATTCGCCTCTCGCTCTACATTCTCTCTTGTTTCTTTTATTTTGTATTTAAACATCGTCGTTATTTTATGTCGCTTTAAAAAAGGCACCGAACCGGGGACTGCATGCGCATTAGAATATCGAATCCCGCATGAAGAGCACACGTTAAATTTAACACGCGTTTTCGCATTTAATTACATATGTAAAAATTCCGGAGATCGAGCGACCCTCTTGTTTTGTAACTATCGATCTTTGCGATCGTCGACTCCTTTACTGCTACTTTTTTTTTTAATTTTTGCCCTCGTTTTCTGACGCATTGTCTCGAAACTGCAACGACGTTATATATAATAGATATTATCAACTAGCACTAAAATATATTCAATATAACTTCTGTTTATATATATATATATATATATATATATATATATATATATATACTATATAT